TGCTCTGAGCGCTGGGTCCTGGGGCTCTCCCTCCTCCCCATTCTGCCCCAGTGCTCCTGGAGCCCAGTCTGCTTCCCCATGGGTGTCCCAAGGCAGGGCCTGGGGCCGGGGCAAGGACAAACCTGAGTTTCCTCCCCAACCGTGCATGACTTGTGCCCCGTGACCAGCAGCTCTGTCAGCCCAGGGGACAAAAGTGCTGCAGGCCGCCCAGAGGAGCGCCCTGTGGGCGATAAATCGAGTGGTGATGGAGATCCAGCACAGACTGCACGAGTGCCAAGGATGTGCCAACCACACCACCGCATGCCCCGGTGAGCTTGCACGACTACCCTGGGCCAGTTCTCCCATCCACCGCATCCCCTCCCTTCAGACTTGACTCCCTCTTGGGGACAGAGACTGGGCGGGGCTGCAACCAAAACAACGCTTCTGAAGGTCTCTCCAAGTGGAAAGGCATGCCAGGCTTGGGGCACAGCATGTGTAAAGGCAGGAGGGCAGGAACAGTCCGGGCTCCCTTGGTGAACAGTGAGAAATTTATGCTGCTTGGGGGTGGGGTAACAGAAGGGGAGCCTTAGGGCAGAGAGAAGGCTCAGACCAGCCTGGGGTGGAGGAAGGGTGGGAGGGTGGCATCGAGGCTCAAAGGTCTATTTCTCAGCAGGACCTGGGCGTCCCGGGCCTCAAGGCCCCCTCCTCCAGGATCCACCTGAGCCAGGTGAGGCTGGAAAGGCTCTAGGGGGCAGGGCTGAGAGCAGGGTGGACCCTGGAGAGGCCTCGATGGTGGGGAGGGCCAGGTCTTGTCCCTCATGACACCGCTCCCGCCTTTCTAGGCCCGTGTGGCGAGAGGCGCCCGGGCACTGTCAACGTGACGCGGGCCCACGGCCGCATTGTGGGGGGCAGCGCGGCGCCGCCCGGGGCCTGGCCCTGGCTGGTGAGGCTGCTCCTCGGCGGGCAGCCTCTGTGCGGCGGCGTCCTGGTGGCGGCGTCCTGGGTGCTCACGGCGGCGCACTGCTTCGCGGGGTACGTCGGGCCCCAGACCCCTGCCCAGCCCGGGTCCCCAACGCCCTATCCAACTCTTCCGGGGTTGTCGGCCGGGCGACAGGCGCGAGGGCCGGTCTTTGCTGCCCCCTGGCGGCGGCCGCCCCCCTCCCCAACTCCCCGGCCTCCAGGCGCCCACGCCGCCCAGCCATGGCGCTAATCTCCACCGCCCGGCGCGTTCGGCCCGCTCGGGACCGCCGCCTCCCCGCCCCCAGGCGGAGAAACAGCCTGGCGTGCGGGCCCGCTGGGTGATGCCCATGGGCGGAGGCAGGGTCTCCAGGGGACCTCGCTGCCCTGTTGTCCTGCGTATCACTCGCCACTCGCCCTGCAGCGCCCCGAACGAGCTTCTGTGGACGGTGACGCTGGCCGAGGGGCCCCGGGGGGAGCGAGCGGAGGAGGTGCCGGTGAACCGCATCTTGCCCCACCCCAAGGTGAGAGGGCAGCCCCCAGGCCCTCAGACCTGGGAACAGCACCCCACCCCACGCCTCGTTGACCCTACGCCGCCACCCCTCCCCAGTTTGACCCGCGGACCTTCCACAACGACCTGGCCCTGGTGCAGCTGTGGACGCCGGTGAGCCCGGCAGGGGCGGCGCGCCCCGTGTGCTTGCCCCAGGGGCCCCGGGAGCCCCCCACTGGCACCCCCTGCGCCATCGCGGGCTGGGGGGCCCTCTTCGAAGGTACAGGGCAGGGCCGGGCCTGGGTGAGCCGCGCGTGTGCTGGGAACAATGGGGGCTGGGGTGATAGAGTTTGGGAAGGCCAGGGTGTAAGGAAGCGGACCTAGGCCCACTTGCCTTGCAAAATGCTGCCTGTTCTTGCAAAGGGGGAGGAATCAATGAGGGCGGGGTGCGGGGGGGCTCCAAGCGGGGCCCCTGCTCGGCAGGCCTGAGCCCCCTCCATTGCTTCCCTGTAGATGGACCTGAGGCTGAGGCAGTGAGGGAGGCTCGCGTGCCACTGCTCAGCGCCGACACCTGCAGAAGGGCCCTGGGGCCCGGGCTGCGCCCCAGCAGCATGCTCTGTGCCGGCTACCTGGCCGGAGGCATCGACTCATGCCAGGTATGAGCCCCGATTGATCGACCGATGGTGCTAGGTGGGCCGCTCCCTAGAGCGAGACAGCCTCCTTTCCTTTTACAGTCAGACTGTCACTCAACTTCTCTGAGCCTCTATGTCCTCATCGCTAAAATGGGTACAAGAGTAGTAACCCCAGTAGAGCTCAGAGCTGCCTTACCCTGCCAGGTGTCAGGCTGGCATATGAGGGGGGCAGGTCAATGCAGTGCCCTCTTTCTTGGCTCGGGTGCGTGCAGGGTGACTCTGGAGGACCCCTGACCTGTTCTGAGACTGGCCCCCGCCCCAGGGAGGTCCTGTACGGAGTCACCTCCTGGGGAGACGGATGTGGGGAGCCAGGGAAGCCCGGGGTCTACACCCGCGTGGCCGTGTTCAAGGACTGGCTCCAGGAGCAGATGAGTGGTGAGCGCCTGTTCCTATTCGCCCTCCCCCAGAGTGTCCCGCTAACAGCCCTGGACGCGCCCATTTCCACTCCGTCCACCCCAGCCCCTTTCTGCGTGGGGAAAGCCTGTCTCCCTCCGGGGGAGTGCTGCGGGGTCTAGGGCCCAAAGCAGGGGGTGAGTTGGCCTCTGCTGCCCCCTGCAGCGGCCCCCTCCAGTCGCGAGCCCAGCTGCAGGGAGCTTCTGGCCTGGGAGCCGCCCGAGGAGCCGCTGGCAGACGCGGCAGCAACGCCCTGTGCCTTCTACGGCCACCTGTGCCCGGGGCCCGCCGGCGCCTGTGCGCGCCCGGCGCACCAGCAGTGCCTGCAGCGCCGGCGGAGATGCGGTCAGTCCAGTTCCCGGGGCTGGGCCAGGGAGGCAGGGGGCCTGGGCCACGTCTGACCGCCGCTCGGACCCTCGTCCCGTCCGCAGAGCTGCGCTCGCTGGCGCACACCCTGCTGGAGCTGCTGCGGGGCGCCCAGGAGCTGCTCGGCCCGCGCCCGGGGATGCGGCGCCTGGCCCCGGCCCTGGCTCGCCTGGCTCCGTCGCTCCAGGAGCCTCCCAGGCGCCTCGCCCGCGAGCAGCGGCTGCACGCAGGTACCCCGGGCCCCCGCAGGCCAGCCCCGGCCCCACCCCTGCGCGGCCGAGGCGTTCCCCTAACCCTGCGTCTCCCCAGGCTCGCGGGCTGCAGGCGCGCGGTTCCCAAAGCGGAGGCCCGAGCAGCGCGGGGAAGCGGACGGTAATGACGCCCCCTGCCGGCCATCGCCAGGGGTGTAGGCCCAGGGCTGGCTGAGGCCGGGAGGGAATTGGCCCGGGGTCTGTACTGGGAAGCAGTTGCCCCATGGGACGTTAGGCATCCCCCTCCACCGCAGTAGGGCGGATGACTCTCTGGGGGGACTTGTGGCTTTGGGCCCTCATCAGTATCAACAGAGATGCTGGGCTTGTGTTATTTAACCTCTCTGAGCCTCGGTCTCCCCATCTGTAGCATGAGAAGTCTGCCCACTGAAAGGTGGTCCCGAGGTACTGGTGGGAATCCTACCCCCGGCTCCATGCTGGTGTCAAGTCTCTCTCATTCCCTGGGCGCCCCCTTCCTGCAGGCTGCCCTGGGCTGGAGCCCCTGCGGCAGAAGCTGGCCACCCTCCAGGGCACCCACGCCTGGATCCTGCAGGTCCCCCCGGAGCGCCTGGCCATGGACTTCCACGAGGTGGGTCCCCAGGCTTCCCAGAGTCCTTCACAGTGGCCTCAGAAGGCCGACCTGGGTCAGCCCTAATGACTAGGGGACAGAAGGGACACCCTCCCCAGCAGGGTGGGGGGTCCAAGGGGAAGGGGGTGGAGAGGGCAGCTGTGTGAGCCGGGGTGCTGGGTGGGTGTGAAGATGTGGGGGGAGGTGTGAGTGGGGGGACTTCTGGGGGTGTCCGGAGTGAACAGGAAGTGTGCAGGGTTGTGGAGGGGGGTGAAGGAGGGGGGTGGGTCTGAGTGAGAGTTTCTGGGGCCAGGAGGAGAGGGCCCCAGAATGGGGTTGTGGGCCCCTGAGCTCCTTCCTCCCTCGCAGGTCCTGGCCAATCTGGGCTCCAAGACGCTGACCGGGCTCTTCCGAGCCTGGGTTCGGGCAGGCTTGGGGGGCCGGCACGTGGTCTTTGGGGGCCTGGTGGGCCTGGAGCCGGCCACACTGGCTCGCAGCCTTCCCCGGTTGCTGGTGCAGGCCCTGCGGGCCTTCCGCTTGGCAGCCCTGGGGGAGGCAGAGCCCGAGGGACCCCGGATGGATTCGAAGCAGGGCCAGGGGCTGGGGAGGAAGGGGCACCACCCACTCAGCCCTCGGGTTCCCCCAGCGAGGCCGTGAGCCATGTCTCAGCCTCCAGGCCCTGGGCAGGACCTACTGCTCCCAGGGGCTGGGAGGGGTTCGGGGAGCATGATGACAAACTGTCACAGCCACAGTTGGCTGGGGGGTGGGGCGGGGATCCCAGGCCCCATGTGTCTCCCCAGATTTGCCATCAGAAAATCACAGCTGCTTTAATAAACGTTATTTATGACCCACGGAGACAACTCTGGATCTTTCTTGGGATGGGAACCGAGTGGGTGGACATTAGACCTCTGGGGGGTGGGATGGGGGGTGGCAAGCAGGGCCCAGCCTCCAGAAGCAGTGTCCCAAAACCCTGGAGAGGAGCTTCTAAGCCCCCATCTCAGCATCCCTGTCTGCTTCCCAAGAAATGGCAGCAGCTGAACGCCTGTCTCCACTCCCCTATCCATGGCTGACCAGCGCTGCCCCCGCCCCACCGTGTCTGCACTCAGCCCCACCCCCACCGCTAGCTGTGGGAGCACCAGCCTGGGATCTCTGCCTCACGTCCTTGGGCTCCTGCCCTCCCTGTCCCCACCCCCTCATCGCCTGCCCCCGCACCAGAAGCTAGAGGTGTCAGATTGCGTTTCCGGCTGCCTCTTCCCTTTGCCCTCCTCCCCTGCACCTGTCCCCTCCTGCCACCCCCCCACATTCCCCAGCTCTGGGGACAGGAGGGGCAGACGCCAGAGCCAGTCGGAGGGACAGGATGGAGGGGCCGGTGTTAACACTGGGGCTGCTGGCTGCCCTGGTCGTGTGTGGTAAGAGTGGACATCACCCCGCTTGAGGGTCCCTCAGGATGCCCACCTGGGTCCCCCACTGCATGGTCCCCTCCTGCTCCCTCCCACGTGGTGCTCCCTCCTCCAGCAACAGGCCCAGCTCCCCACTCCGCTCTGTGATTTCTCCCTGGAGGGTGCCACCACCAGCACCCTGCTGCTGGGGGGTGGTGTGACTCCTTCACTCCACGGCCCAGCAGGACCACAGGGTAGTTTCCTTCCTGAGCCCCTGCCAAGCACCCCATCCCTGTCCCCGTCCCCCTGCAGGCAGCTGGGGCCTGAACGAGGAGGAGCGGCTGATCCGGCACCTGTTTGAGGAGAAGGGCTACAACAAGGAGCTCCGGCCCGTGGCCAAAGGGGGGAGTGTGGAGGTCTCGCTGGCCCTCACCCTCTCTAATCTCATCTCCCTGGTGAGAGACCGCTCTGTGGCTGGGCTGGGGACGGGAAGACAAGGACAGCTTCCTGGAGGCCTGGCTGGTCTCCCAGACCAGGATGGCCATGGAGGAAGCTCAAAGCCCCTGCTCAGCCCGTGGTAGCTCCTCTCCCCAGGAAACATACTCCCACTGCTGCTCACAGGCCCTGGGCTGATGCCCCTTCCCCTCTAGCTTCAGCTCTGGGGTGCCCCCGAATCATACCCATGACACACTTCAGAGGCCGTGTGCCCGACCTGCTCTAGGTCTGCCCACCCTCTCCCGACGGGGAGTGCTTGGGGCAGGAGTCTGGTCGGGCTGCTGCCATGGTTCCCCACCCCGGGCCCGGCCGGCCGGCAGTAGGCACCTGGGGAACGTGTGCAGGTGAAAGAATGATGCAGGCAAAAGAATGATGCAGGCCCCAGGGGCACAGCCCTCCTGTGTGATTACAGAAAGAAGTCGAGGAGACCCTCACCACCAACGTGTGGATTGAGCACGTAAGGAGAACCCCCAACTCAGAGCAGGGGATGGAGTGAGGGTGCAGGGCCCAGGCTCCCCTGTGCTCGCTTCTGCTTGGGGATCCCCAACCTGCCTCAGACACTGTCCTCCAGGAGGGGCTGGCTCCTCCCTACAGAGAAACCCCACTGTAGGCTGGGGTAGAAACTCCAGCTGCCCTTCTCCCCACCTAGTGCAGGCACCAGCTCAGATAGAGCCTTGGGGTGGATTAGGAGTCTTCCTCTAGGGGAAAATTGTCACAATATCCTGATTTTATTAGAAGATGCTCTCTGCTGTCTGTCAGAAGTTAATAATATAGACATAAATCTTCTGTGTCCACTATGAAAATAGTGCTCCCTTAGTTGTGCAGTGTGCATCCTACACCGCTGTACATGACAGACCTGAGTCCCCGTTCTGTACCTATCTCCCCCAAACCTCTTTTGTCACAGATCCCAGACTCTGTGCAGTCTTCCCCCAGGGAAGTGGGGGGAGTGGTAGAGACTGGACAACAGCAGAGCCCACTGCTGACATTCCTTTCGGGCTTCCAGGGCTGGACAGACAGCCGGCTGCAGTGGGATGCCGAAGAATTTGGGAACATCAGCGTCCTGCGCCTGCCACCTGACATGCTGTGGCTCCCGGAGATTGTGCTGGAGAACAAGTTGAGCGGCAGCCCTCCCTGGCCTCCCCTCCATCACTCTGTCCCCTTGCTTAAGCGCCTGGAGCCGCCCCTCCAGCCCCAAGTTTCTGACCGTCCTCCCTCCGCGGCCTCCCCTGCCCTGCCCGTTCCAAGCTGGCCAGGGCTCACGGTGGCTCTGGCCTCTGTCCCCCAGCAACGACGGCTCCTTCCAGATTTCCTACTCCTGCAACGTGCTCATCTACCCGTCAGGCTCCGTGTACTGGCTGCCGCCCGCCATCTTCCGCTCCTCCTGCCCCATCTCCGTCACCTACTTCCCCTTCGACTGGCAGAACTGCTCCCTCAAGTTCAGGTGCACCCACTTCTCCGGCCACCCCTCACACCAGGGCACCAGGGCCCGAGGGAGGTGAACGACGCATCCTCAGGCAGAGGCCCCTGCTCTATCCTGATTAGAGCCCCCCTCGCCCACTATGGCCCCTCCCACCGTGACCCACTGTACTAGCCTTTCCCCCACCCTCTGCCCACTGCCCTCCCCAGCTCGCTCAAGTACACGGCCAAGGAGATCACCCTGAGCCTGAGGCAGGACGAAGAGGAGGGCCGCTCCTACCCCGTGGAGTGGATCATCATCGACCCCGAGGGCTTCACAGGTGCCGGGAGCAGCAGCCGGTGGGGGGCATCCCTCAGACACTCACCCGCCAATACAGTCACACCGACACCCCCAGAGATGCATGCGTGCACACACACACCTGGGACACGGACACACAGGGACACAGACATGCAGACAGACACAGACGGGCAGACGCACACCGGCCCACACGCACTCTCACCACACACTCACACCAACACAGAGCCGGCATGTTGAAAGGAAAAGAAGCCCCACTGGGGACTGTGTCCCAAAGGCAGAGACAGACGGGCGCCAGTGCCCTACCCCTCCCCTGCCCAGGCCAGAAGACGCTTCTGGGGATGGATGTGGCCAACAGATGAGGGGGCGGTCAGTCTGTCTGTCCTCTGAGAGCCCAGGGGTGTGGTTGGGGCTCCGGCTGTCATCCTGATGGTGTGTATGTTGCCCCCTCCCAACGCCACCCATCGCCTATCTGTGACCAGGCTCAGCTCTTTGACGGGGCCCCCACTGCTCCCCTTGTCCATCAGAGGAGACCCACGTCCCGCTGGTCCCCAGGCTGGTGCGTCATGGTCGGGAGGGGCCTTACTCTCACTGCCTTGTCATCCCCAAGACTCCTTATTTGAACCATATACGGCTGCAGCCGCTACTTTCTCCAAGGAGGAAAATATATCAGTCCCAGAGGAAAACGCCCCCTTCAGATTGAAACTTCCGTCCCAGCCCCCAGGGAGGGACACCCACAAACAGTCCCTGAACCCTTCTCTGCGCACCCGTCTTAGGGCCCTGCAGGCAGGTCTGGCTGCACCTGTGGGCCAGCTCATCCACTTAGCCCCTTGTCCCCCCCAGGGGCCCCCTTAGCCCCCCTGCCCGGCCTGACCCCAAGGCGTCCGTGTGCCGCCCTCAGAGAACGGGGAGTGGGAGATCGTGCACCGGCCGGCCAGGATCAACGTGGACCCCAGTGCCCCGCTGGACAGTCCCCGCCGCCAGGACGTCACCTTCTACCTCATCATCCGCCGCAAGCCCCTCTTCTACGTCATCAACATCCTCGTGCCCTGCGTGCTCATCTCCTTCATGATCAACCTGGTCTTCTACCTGCCGGCCGACTGTGAGCCTCGGCGCCCGTCCCGGCTCCCCGTCCCCGGAGGAACCTGGCATCGGCCACCCCAGCCCTGCCCCCACTTCCTCCCTGGAGCCACATGGGGGTCACCACTCCTGGGGCTCCCTGCCCAGGGTCCGGGCATGAGGGGCACGTGGCCAGTCAAGGAGAGGGCTCTGTGACCCTGTCCGACATCCCCCAAATGGACAGGGCCCCTGGGGGTTCCAACCCTCTTGGACCTGACTTCTGCCTCTCACTATGGGCTTCCCAAGGACCCTAGGGAGAACCACTAGGCTGTCCCTCTGTCAGGGTGGAGACGGGGTCTGTCATGGTCACTACTGTGTGACCGTGGGCCTGGCACAGAGGAGGCCATCAATTGTTGAGCCCATGGGTGGATACAGGGTCTCTAGGAAGCCAGGGCATGGGGGCATGCAGTCTACACTCACCTGGTTCTAGAAGGGCACATGTCGTCAATGCTCCCTCAGCTCCAGAAGATTTCCTATGAGCAGGCACAGCGAGTCCCAGAGACAAAGCGACCCAGCCCGCAGCAGACGGGGTAGAAACTACAGGCCCAGGAGTGTGGCCTGGGGGTGGTGGCACAGGGGAAGGTTTCCTGGAGGAGGCGGTGCCTGAGCTGGAGACGGGGTGGGAGGCACACAGATGGAGAAGGGGTGCTGGGGCAGGGCCGTGGACCCACGACCACAGCAGCCACTGCACAGCCGGCTCAGGAGCTCAGGTGGGAAGAGCAGAGCAGTGCTGGGCTGGGGTCTCTGAGTGAAGGGCTGAGAGTAGGAGCGTTGTCCTGGTGCCAGGAGGGCACCCTGGAGCTCCCTGTGCAGAGCTGTGATTCAGGAGGCCTGAGGGGCAGGGGATGGGCTAACGATGACAGCTGGTGTTCCCTGAGCTCGTTCCCAGGGCCAGGCGAGGTTTAACCCACACTCTCTCACTTTGTCCTCACGACATTTAACAGTTGAGAAAACAGAGGCACAGAGAGGTTAGGCTACTTGCCCAAGGTCACCTAGCCAGTAAGTGGCAGAGCCAGGGTTTGAACCCGGGCACTCTGGCTCCAGAGCCCATGATGTTAATCAGGGCATCACGGCACTGTGGACAGTGGCGCAGAGGCCACAGTGGGATACTCTGGGCGCAGGGCCAGAGGTGGCAGCTAAGTCCGGGCTCCCCCAGGTGGCGAGAAGACATCAATGGCCATCTCAGTGCTCCTGGCCCAGTCCGTCTTCCTGCTGCTCATCTCCAAGCGGCTGCCGGCCACGTCCATGGCCATCCCCCTCATTGGCAAGTGAGTGACGACCCACACGTCCCACCACGCCCCGCCCCGCCCCGCCCGGGGGCTCCAGGCTGAGTGTGTGCCCGCAGATTCCTGCTCTTTGGCATGGTGCTGGTGACCATGGCCGTGGTGATGTGTGTCATCGTGCTCAACATCCACTTTCGCACACCCAGCACACACGTGCTGTCTGAGGGCGTCAAGAAGGTGAGCGATCTCAGCAGCCAAAAGCTGGAAACTGTCCATGCGTTCCTCTGCAGTCTACTCACACAGGGCCGTACTGTATGACTCCTGCTGCTCCGCACGCCCGCATAGACGGCTCCCCCAGGCGTGAGGTTACAGGAGGAAGCCAGACCCAGAAGAGCACAGACTGGCCATTTCCTTCCTATGACATTCAAGGACGGGCAAAGCGGATCGTTAGTGCTAGAAGTCAGGATGGTGGTTACCTCCAGGGGAGGGTAGGAACTGATGGGGGGAGGCACGAGGGAACCTTTTTGGGATAATGTTCCATATCTTATCTGGGAGGTGTTTACACAGTTGAAGGCATCTGTAAAACTTCGTCTAGCTGTACGCCGAAGACTTGCTCATCCTACTGTATGTTTGTTACACCTCCATTAAAAAGGTGAGGACTGTGGGGCCAGGGTGCCCAGGAGGGGGCTGTCCTTGCCTCTCGGCCACTGCAGGGCCACCTGGCTCTGGGACAGCTAAGGGTGGCTTAATGACTTTTTTGGTCTTTAAGCATTTGAAAAAGAGAGCTCAGCATTTGGGGCATTTTTCTCACTTTTTTGTTTTTTTATATATAATTTGTTTTCAACAAATGAGTTCTGTTCTGTGCTGTGAGTAATGAGGGAGAGTTGGAAGCAACCTAAGTGTCCATCAGTAGGGGATGGGGAGAATAATGACAGGGTCAGACTGGGGAACATTTTGTGGCAGCCAGGAATGGAGTCATGATGTTTGGAGGTGTGAAGGTGACCCACGGTTGTAAAATGGCCTTCCTGTTTCCCCTGACCCGCTGCAGCTCTTCCTGGAGACCCTGCCCGAGCTCCTGCACATGTCCCGCCCAGCGGAGGACGGGCCCAGCCCCGGGGCCTTGGTCCGGAGGAGCAGCTCCCTGGGCTACATCTCCAAGGCCGAGGAGTACTTCTCGCTCAAGTCCCGAAGTGACCTTATGTTCGAGAAGCAGTCAGAGCGACACGGGCTGGCCCGGCGCCTCACCACTGCACGTGGGTCTCTGGTGGCTTGCGGTTTGGCCCAGCCATGGGAGGTGCGGGGGGCACGCCTCATGTCCACCTCTGGCCTGGTGTCCACAGGCCGGCCCCCAGCAGGCTCTGAGCAGGCCCAGCAGGAGCTCTTCAGTGAGCTGAAGCCAGCTGTGGATGGGGCCAACTTCATTGTCAACCACATGAGGGACCAGAACAATTACAATGAGGTGAGTAGCCACAGGGTTGTCATGTACAGGTGTTCAAGTAGTACACTGATCAAGCATATCCTATCTTAAGGCAGCACAGTTACCCTCAGAAACACATACCAACTTAGAGGAGTTCACGGTGCTTGCAGATTTCAGGCCCCCCAGGGAGTGAGAGGCCCAGCCTAGAACCCCACAGCAGAACACTGGGCCAGGCACACAGTCAGGCTCACAGCTCCACCCTGTCCGGGTCGCACTCTGGGCATCCCTTAGGGTCCCTTCTTCCTCCCAGCTGCCAATAATTTTCTTTCCCTGCTCAACTCCAAACCTTATTTGGACACAGCCAGACGTTTAAAAGGCAGCCCTATATGACTGTTCAATATTACACAACTTTTTAAAATTCTCTCTTGAGAAAGGGGTGAACTTTTTCCCGTTCACACATTCACATAGCCATGCTGAGTGGCCGGGAGGGGTGAAGAGGGAGGAGAGGGGCCGATCTACCTTCCTCCACCCCCTGAGAGACTCCTGGCGCCCTGGCTCCTCTGCAGCCCCCAGAGCCCTGCAGTGGGGTGGGGAGGGAGGCAGTGGCTCTGCTCTTGGTCTCCAGGACAGACAGAATGACCAGCCCTGCCTGTGGCCAGAGGGGGCTGGGGCTTGGGGCCTAGGCTGGGGACACGCCAGCACGTCCCATCTCCTGCAAGCCCAAGGTGAGCCACACAGATACGTGAGGCCATGCCTCTGTCACTGGGCCCCAGCTTGGGGTGCGGGTGTGCGTTGTGAGGGCCCTGCTCACCCCACGCTCTCTGCCCCCTCCCCCAGGAGAAGGACTGCTGGAACCGTGTGGCGCGCACAGTGGACCGACTCTGCCTGTTTGTGGTGACGCCCATCATGGTGGTGGGCACGGCCTGGATCTTCCTGCAGGGCGCCTATAACCAGCCTCCACCCCAGCCTTTCCCCGGGGACCCCTTCTCCTACAAGGAACAGGACAAGCGCTTCATCTGAGTGGGCCTGCCTGGCCCGGCCTGACCCAGTGCCCAGGGCAGCACTGAGTGGGGCCCTTGGCCTGAAAGGGATGGGCCTGCGGGGTGAGGGGGAGCCATGTGGACAGGGGTGTCTAAGAGAAGAGAGGCTCTGTGGGGAGGCCAGCTCCTGGCCCAGAGACTCGAGCCCAGTTGGTCCTGCAAGGCTGCGGCGGAGACGAGCCGGGCTCTCCTGAGACCAAGGGAGGGAGGGAAAAGCCCCACTCAGCAGCGGTCCCTTTGCAAATAAAGACAGAGCCATCCAAGGAGGCCTGAGAGTGCACACCCGCTGGGGGTGGGGCAGGACAATTTGGGGGGAGGCCGGGGGCTGCCCCTCAGGCGGGCCTTTTGGGACCCTCTGTGAGGGATCCGGAAGAGAGGCTTCTTCTTGCCTCGCCCTCCCCCAGGTGGGGGTAGGGCAGGTGGCATCCTGTGCCTTCACTTCCCAGCTCCTCCAGCCACCCTCTCCCTGCCAGCCCTCAGCCTCAGGCTTCTGAGGCCCCACCTGGAGCTGAAGTTGGGGGCGCCTCTCTCTCCAGGCCCCTTAGGGAAGTAGGTTTTGGGCAGGGACGGGAGCACCAGGGTAGCAGGATGGCCTTCCCCAGCCCTTTCTGCCTTGGCGGCTCTCTCTGGGTCCCTCTGGGAGGCTGAGGACTGGAGTGGAAGGGTTGGGCTCAGCATCTGCAGAGGCCAGAGCCCATCAACCTCAGGTCACACGCACCATCCTCGGTCCCCAGAACTCAGCCCTCCCCCCAGGAGTGTCCCCTCTTGGGCACCTATCCCTCCTCCCCAAAGCAGGGTTGCCAGGCAAGATTTGGGACATACTTATACTAAAAACTTATTCATTATTCATCTGAAATTCAGATTTCACTGGGCATCTTGTATTTTTATTTGCTAAATTTGGCACCTCTACCCCAAAGGGACCCCCCACCAATCCTATCCCAAGGGCCAAAGGCAGAGGCTGCAGGAACTGGGAGGTGTGGTTCTGTGTGGTAGCCCACCTCCAAGACAGCCCCAGCGATCCCCACCTCCTGATCTTCATATCCTTGTGTAGTGCCCTCCTACACTGCACCAGGACTGGTCTGTGTGACCAAAAGAACGAGGCAGAAATGACAGTATGTCACTTCCGAGATCAGGTTATAAAAGACGTTACCCCTTGTCTCTCTCTCTTTCCCTTGCACTTGCTCCCTCATTGTCACTCTCAATTGGATCTCTCACTTGGGGGAAGCCAGCTGGCATGATGAGCAGCCCTATGGAGAGCCCACATGGCCAGGAACAGAGGCCTCCTGCCAACAGCCACGTGAGTGAACTTAGAAGTGAATCCTCCAGCCCCAGCAGAGCCTTCGGATGAGATCACAGCCCCATGAAAGTCCCTGAGCCAGAACTGCCCAGCTAAGCTGCTCCTAGATTCCTGACCCCCAGAAACTGTGTGAGATAATAAACATTTGCTGTTTTAAAAGGCAAAGTTTTGGGGTAGTTTGTTACACTAGCAGTGTGACCTTGGGTGAGCCACTCTTCATCTTTTAACTTCAGTTTTCTCATCTGCAAAATGTGTGTATAATAAGTCCCGCTCGTGGGGTGTTGTGAAAATCAAATCTCTTAGTAGGTGTAAAAGTTACATGTGTCCTGCAAATTTAAGGGGTGGTTGTTTAACTCATTCCTCATTTGTGGGCCTGAATCACAGAGGATGGGCCTGTGGGGCCCTCACTGGGGTCTCCTGCATCCATGCCTGGTGACTGAGGGAGGATTAGGCAGACGCAGAGGGCCCGATTATTCACCTCCTGATGTACAGGCTTCAGGTCTTCACAGCTCAACCCATTTCCCCTCGAGAGAATCGGGGACCTCGTGAGCCTAGGTATACAGAAGGGGAGATTTTTAGTCTTTCAATGGAACAGAGGGAAAAAAACCATTTAAAACCAAAACTGACCCTAGATAACTGCCTTCCAATATGAACCGTCCACAAATTCAAGGTACAAATCTTTAATTTTTTCCCCCTGAATAGAAAAACTACCTCGGACTTAGACCCATCAGATGAGCAGGAAGTCCGGGCCTTCCCTGAAATCATCCACTAACGCGGGGAGGGTCCCTGTCTCACACACAGAGAGGGCCTGAATCAGATCCCTCGGCCACTGTCGTTGTTTCTCTCTGCCACACTGTGGCGCTGTTGGCAGCAGGTCTTACACAGTCCAACCCCCCACCCCTCCGCCCACCCAGGTGAATCCTCAGTTGGGTCAGGCCGTGCTCAGGTGGCTGTGAACCTTCCAGAGAAGACAACCCCAAAATGCCACACCCGACCAAGGCTGCCTCTGTTCAGGTTCTCAGGGTCACAGCCAGTCCCCCAACAGCACCCACTCCCCCAGCGCTCCAGCCCCAGGGTGCTGGGGACGGTCCACTCTCTGGGTGACATGGAACTCTATCTCCTCTCCTCCCCAGGTCACACCCACGAGGACCAGCTTCCTGTGAAGCCAAAGGGTGTCCCTACATACTCTCCCCAGGCCAGCAGGGCTATCCACCCTCTTTCAAAGGACAATGAATCTGTTAGGAATGCCCTGGGCTGCAAGGAGTGGAAAACCCAGAACCGTGGTTTAAACAAATAAGTTTTTCTCTTTTTCACGTAAGAATGGCGAGGTGGGTTCCCACATTGGCTCAGCTGTCCCACAAAGCTGAGCCCTCCCTCCTTGGTGCGTTGTCTTTGTCCTCATGCTTGTTGCCCCACGTTGCAAGCTGACTGCCACAGCTCCATACTTCACATCTATGTTCAAGGAAGAAAAGAGGCCAGCCATTTCTGATCCCTTTTATCAGGAAGCAAAAGCTTTCCCTGAAGCCCCTCAGCCGACTTCTGCAGACATCCCATTGGTCAAGATATTATCACATGGCCTCGCCTGTCTGCAGGGGAGCCAGCCTTGGTGGTCTACTGGTTAAGATTCGGCATGCTCACTGCCGCAGCCAGGGTTCCTGTCCCAGTCAGGGAACCACACCACCCGTCTGTCAGTTGTCATACTGTGGTGACTGCGCGTTGCTGTGATGCTACAAGATATGCCACCAAGATTTCAAATACCAGCAAGGTCACTCGTGGTGGACAAATTGCAGTAGAGCTTCCAGACTCAGAGAGAATAGGAAGAAGGACCTGGCCACCCACTTTTGAAAAAATTGGCCATGAAAACCCTGTGAATAGCAGCACAGCACTGTTTGATACAGCAGCGGAAGGTGAGCGGATGGTGCAAAAAGACCCAGCAGGGTTCCACTCTGATGTCCACAGGGTCACCAGGAGTCGGAATCAACTCCACGGAAGATTTCCTCTTAATGCGTCCCATACTTCCCCCCAATCCCTCCAGGGTGGAAACCACCACTCCTCTAAGATGACGCACCCTCCTGAGAACACCGTGAAGAGTTCTCAGCCTCTCTCCCAGAGCAGAGAGAAGAGAATAGGAGTTTAAATCTTCATATATAAGGGAGGTGGCATAATTCAAACCAGATGGAAGTCAGTCTCCATAATCTTCCTTTTCCCTCCCAGACACTTGTGGGAGAAGGGAAAGGAAAGTCAGAAATGTTGGAGCATCAGCTGGACCACCTATGCCTGGGGCAGTGCTGGGGGTGTGGGGGATAGGTGGTCCATATTTAGCAGAAGCCAGCAATGATCTTGGGCAAAGTGTGGTCTTGGAGGGGTGTAGAGAAGGGGAGACATATTGCTCTGCAAAACAGGTGAGGGAACTGAGTCGGGGGGCACCAGAGGGCAAAGTGGGGAGAAGGAGCTGTTGGTTTTGTAAACTCCAAAGCAAGTGGGCTACACACCCAGATGCACTGGGAGAGTTAAGGTGGGGCGGGACTGCAATGAAGGAAAACTGAGCGTGGGCCCAGAGCAGGACCGAATGCAAGGACAGCGGACCAGCCACCCACAGTGCAACAGTGAAAGTAGATGACCAGGAAGGCAGCTGCCACCACTACCACTCCCCACCCCCACCCAGTCCCACAGGAGGAACCTGTGGCCCTGCTGCAGGACGGCTAGCGTCCGAGCCAGCCTCTCCTGGACCTCCAAGGACAGGGCCGTCGGCTGACTTCCGGTTTACTGACACACACTGAAATGCCACAGACATCATTTGTGGGCAGGGACATGTCCTCAAACAGTGCTTTCCTTCCAGCCCTCGGAGGCCTCCACCACCCTGCCCCCAGGATGCCAGAGGGTGGGTGGCATGGATGGGAACCTGCGGTTTCTGTCTTGCTCACATACTGGGACATGCTGACCTGTCTGCTTGGAACAGATGGTCAGAAGACAGGTGGCCTGAGCCTGTGGCCATGGCCAGCAGCAGGGCCCTAGTCTCCTAGATCAGCCTCAGCCCCACCCTTCCCCTGACCACAAACCACAGAGTGGATGGAGCTTGTTTTCTGGCCCTTCTGGGTCCCCTCATCCGACTCTCCGGGGGCCACAATCTCGATCCTGTCCCCACAGGACTGAGTTCCCATGAGCAGCTCAGACTTATCCCTGGGTCCCCCTGGCCTAGTGCTGTGCCTGCCACATACTGGGGACTCCATAAGTCTGTGGATGACTTAATACTGAGGGCCCACTGAGGAGCCCCTATTCAGGGGCTATTCTATTTACAAGATCCCCGAGTTCCCGAACTTTCTCAGCCTTCTTTCCTTCAAAGCTTACCAGGCCTATGACCCATGCCTCAGAGACTGGGAGGACCCTGACCTGACACCCTAATTTGCATTCAGGTGTCAAAGCCCAGGGGACATAAGGCATCTTTCTATAGGCATTTTACTCTCCAGTGTCTTGGCCCAGTGGAGTAACCCATGAAGATGTCAGGCTGGTGGGAGAGGTTTGGGGTCCTCACCCATGGCGCAGAGGAACTCAGGTACAAACCATGCTAACCCAACAGCCTTCTCACCTTCCCAGCCCTGACCCACTGGAGGGAGCAGGAGGAGGAAGCCATCCTCGCACTGCCCTCTCCCCCACACCCATCTGTCCCTGGCTGCATCCTCAGCCCCCTAGCTGGAGCACAGATGGAGGGCTGGGACCACTGAGTCTGAGAGCAGGGGTGGTGGCCGGACCGTCTCTGTTGGGGCCCCTCTGACGCCTCCCCAGCCCAGGTAACCTGAGCCCAGCA